TAATTGGAGGAAATTAGGCAGCCTACAGTCTGGGTTTCTCTCTAGGGGAAGAAGATGTGAAAGATGAAGAAAGATTAACTTACACAAATTTGATCTTAAAGTCATAGTTTAACAGAACCAGGAATAAGTGGTAATATGCTGTAGAACTTCAAAGGTTGAGAGAAACAGGTAAATTCCAAATCATCATCTAGTTAACTTGGAATGACATGACAAATAAATGCAATTGTAAATAACTAAAGAATGATATTCAGCAGCAGTAGTTGATCACTGAAACACATGCTATAAAACATTTTCCCAATAGTAAAATTGATACTATATTTATTATTGAGATAAGGGGATGCAAGCATTCTGTGCACTGTAGTTTGTTTACATAAAGTACCTCTCACTTTTTACTCAAGTTACTTTATTTTTCAGTCAATAGAGCTCTAAACATAAGGGTTAGTAGCTTCATGTGTGTTCTTTCAAAGGACAAACACAAAGTGAGATTCAGACTAACTTATCTCGTCTCAATTGGAACCCAGGTGAAAACACAAACCTTTAGCCTTTTGGCATTTGAAAGTGGAAAAGAGGGCTTGGAAATACCCATGCCCGGACTCACTGACATTGGCTTAAGCTGCAGTTCCCGTTTGGGTTCATGATGAAACTTTGAGGCCACTTTAGCTGATGATGAATAGAAATTAGGTTAGGTGAGATAGAACTGGAAGATATATGTGGAATGCCTCTGTCTTACCTTTTTATTTCTTGAAACTCATGTGGAGACGAAAAGAACGATATATGAAGAGAACGTTCAGTGATGTGTGTGGAAACAGCTAAAGAGGAACAACAGGAGAGGAAGTCAGCCTTTGAGTTGGTAATTACACTTGCCATTTTTTATGAGATACCAGGGCTTGAACCCAGGACTTTCAGCATGCTAGGTGGTCATTCTGCCATAGAGCAAAACCTCTAGTCCATGGAACACTTTTCATCAAGAACATGGATGAAAAATTATCAGCTAACATCTCAAGGACACTTAATCAGCCCAGGCCCTGTGCTAAGCTGTGCAACCAGACAGGTACAGGTAGATACCGAGAAAACATTACTGTTTCTACCCTTCAGGTGAAGATGATATGAAGCAGTGGGATGCTATACAAGTTGCTCAAGGTCACACTGCTTATAAAAATGACCTGATCCAGCATGTCTCACTTTGTCTGTCAGTGCTTATGTCAAGTATGTCTAATGTTGGACTGCTTGTCAAGAGAAAATGTGATTATGTTGTTGGTGAAATGAATTGCTTTAGACTATGCATGGGAGTGAACGTCCCCTTTCTAGATAACTAAAGGCAGTAGGAAGCACTGACAGCATTTCCCAGGGCAAAAAAAGAAAGTGTGTCTTGTCTCATCTTCTGAGGCCAGAGGCCAGAAGGAAGGGGCTTCTCAGTCCTCCCATGAGTCTTCTCTGATCTTCCATATGGCAAGTTGGATTAGATATGGGATGAGAGAGAGAGTGAGGGAGGAAGAGGTGGGGGTTGAGAAATAGAATGGAATTTAAAGAAAAAGTCTTGACAAGACATTGACTTGGAAGCAGAGATCAAAAGAAGAGAAAGCAGTCTCCATCCAAGCAATTGTTAATGTGAATCTGGAGATACTCTGCAGAAAATAATGTGACTAGGGAAGTTCTGAAGAAGCAAGAAGGCTAGAGAGAGAAAAAGAAGAAGGAAAGTGATAAAGTAAGAAAGGAAGAGAGAGAAAAAATAAAGGAAGGAAGAGAGAAAGGAAGGAAGAAAGGGGAAAGAAATGAAAGGCACTCTGAGATTTTGTCACTTCCTTGAAAGACTCATAAAGAAAGCCACACTTTTTTTTTATTTCTATTGAATTCTAAGCTAAAGATTTCCCAGTGTTAAGAAATTTTGTTCCCTGTGTTGCCTAAGTTGTAGCATAAAAGTGGTCTACTGAGTCTGCTATATGACATGCTTTTTATCGTAAAGTAATATAGGAAGTGCCCTTATCTCTCTTATGTCCCATATCTTTTATCTCTTTTAATGCCACACTGAATTTGCAAGGTGTATGTAATATCTCTGCTTGGTAGAGGGCTCACAGAAATTAGGTAGCCTACCCTCCAGGAGATAGCCTAAAGCACTAAAGACTCCTTCCCAGTCCTTTCCCAAAACACCTCCCTGTTTGTCTCACATGTGAGTGGCACAATTTTAACCTGAAATCGATGTCACAGAACAACTGGTTTAGGCCAATGGCATAATGGTGCACACTAGCAACAATGTATTATGCTGAGCTGAAAGTTCAGTCTTGCCTGGAAGCCTGCCTGTTGTCTTGCAGGTAGTATTCTGTCTGCACAGCTCAGCCAAAAAGTGTTCATGTAGATTAAGCACACTTCCACCCACTAGGATGGGGGACCAAGTGAGAGGGGTTGAGCATAAGAAAACAAAGCAGCACTCTGCAAAGAGGCTCCTACACCTCCTGTGTCTCTACCTGGCTGTTAGTGTTGATGAAAAGAGTGAATTAACACTCCAAACTGTCCTCTGCCACTTGAGAAAAGTTCCAGATTCCTTAAAAATCATGCAAAGCTTCTGTCTGGAAAGGGGTAACAGCATTTGGGATCAATTACCTAGATTAGAAGGCCACAGAGATCTGTTTGCACTTTGTAGCCCAGGGCCCTTTGGCTTTGGTCCACAAGCTGGAGAGTATAAACTGCAGGAATCTCAGCCTAAATTTGACTTCCCTCTTGACCTGCCTGTCTTAACCAGAGAGAAGCAGGTAGAAGGCCCTGTTGTTACTTGCCTGAGACCAGCAAGTAGGATACAAAACATTGTCTTCCAGGTAGAGGAGTTGACATGGAGGTGCCTTGCAGTGAAGACATAGGTTTTCATCACTGAAGCAGTAATGACTGTGAGTGTTGTGTCAGGGTGTGGCCTTTCAGCTAGATGTACCTCAAAATTTATCTTTGCAAACAAAATAAGGGATAACAGCTTCCTGCCATTTTTGCTTCATTACTACAACACTTGGATTTAACTTTGTGTTTTGAATACCTTACAGGTTAGTGACCAAGGGTAGGTAAGTTATCACCATGAAGACTGTGCCAATGAGAGTGTGTTTAGAAACAGGTGATTTTATTTGTTGTTGTTGTTATTGTTGTTATTATTATTATTATTATTATCATTATTATTATTGAGACAAAGTGTCATTATGTGGCACTGGCTGGCCTGGAACTTGCTATGTAGATCAAGTAGACTTTGAACTCACAGAGATCTGTTTGCCTCTCCTTCCCAAGTGCTCAGACTGAAAGTGAACACCACTACACTTAGCAAATACAAATACCTTGACCAAAATGGAATTGTCTAGAACATTTGGTTTAAACTCTGAAGCTGACAAAAGTTTAAACTATGTGAGATTGAGATACAGGTTTCTCCCTCTTCAGAGGACAAAATGTACTCATTTTCCAGAACTTTGATCATTTCAAAATTGTTTAAAGGTATTTATTTTGTCTTAGCATAATCCTGAGGCTAGTGACTTGATCTTGCTTGTTGAAATGTTCACGGGTGAAGAAGGATGAAGAATGAGCAGTATCCATCCCAGGAAAGCCAGCCTGACAAATATAGCATTGTTGAGGAGACAGGCACAGTTTCATTGTGGTCAGAATGTGTGTGTGTGTATATGATTTCAAGCTAGACCACACTAAATGCCACTGGTAGACTGATAAATTGAAAATAACCACAGATAGGGGCTGGGCTCTTCTTCCTAAAGTTCTCTCTCCCTCTTTCTTTCTCCCTCTCCCTCCTTCTCCCTCTCTCTTTAAAAAACCAGTAGCTTTTCTGATATTTTAAACATTTGGTTTTTGTGTTCCAGGAGTGATTGATGTACAATGTCAGTCTTCAATCCCAGCACTCAGGAGACAGAGGTAGGCAGATCTGTGATTTCACAGCCTGTCTCAGCTACCTAGTAAGTTCCAGGCTAGCCATTACTACACAGTGTGACTATGTCTCAAATAGTGTGTGTGTGAGAGAGAGAGAAAGAGGGGGGAAGAGGGAGGGAGAGACTAACAGGGTACATGGGGGGAGTTAGAGAAAAAAACTTTCTATCTCATTGAATCTCAATCTCTCTTGTTTCTGTACTCCATTTGTGTGTCACTGGCTAGATGTCTGGGTGATTCTTCTGCCTCTGCTGCTCATCTCTCTGTAAGAATGATGGGATTACAGATGTGTGCACACATCTTTTTACATGGGAATTGAAATTAGATGATCAAGCTTGCTAGAAAGTTTTTTTTTCCCCCTGCTGGACCTCCTCTTCAGCCCTCTAAAATTTTTTCAAAGGACTTAGAAGAGTATCTGGAGAGACAGTTTAGCGATAAAAGAGCTTTTTGCGCTGGTAGACCCCAGCACCCATGTGGAGTAGTTGCTCACAACTGCCTGTAATTCCAGCTCCAGGAGTGAATGCCAATGCCTTTGGCCTCTGTGGGCACTTACACACATGCCATGCGCACCCACATGCATGTACATAATAAAAATGATTCTTGACATAAAGAACTAAGATTGACCCTGTGATGTAGATGCTTAGAGGTATTTTGATCCCATCATCCAGTAACACCGAAGGCAACTAAAAGACAGTGCTACTCCAGACCATCACACACTTACATAAAACTAGTTACAAAACCCCAATTGCTTCCATGTTGGATTTTTCCGATCCTGGCTTATCTCCACAGTTTACCATTTTCTACAATGTCAGAGCCCCTGACCTTCACAATTAGCTTCCAAATTAACTTAGAGATGATAGTAAGCTCTCAGCTAAATGATAGGATGGCCACTGGGGACCAGACCAATTTCTGAGAACAAGGTTAGGACCAAGTTGCTGTGTAGTGATGCTAAGGCAGATTCTGTCAAAGGATCTATTCTGAAATGAGGAGGAATTCCATGTGACACTAGGGATAGCATCTGTAGCTCTACATGGTTAGCTGATATCCTTTTCCCTGTAAAACAGGCAATCTTTAAATATAGATTTTTCTTTAAATTTAAGGTTCTATAACAGAATCAAGAAGGTGTAGACACCTACCTGTGGGTGAAGACTTGTGAGGACATTGCTTCAGGTTCCTGCTGAAGCCAGAGTTCTGGAGATAGACTGCTGTTCAAGGAAATGAAGAGAGAGTTTGAGAATTGCAAATTTCCAAACAGGTAACTGATGGGAGATGTCACTTTGTATGTTTCTCATACTGGTTAATAATAAAGCACTGTTGGCCAATAGGAAAGGAAGATAGGAGGGACTAGGAGACAAGGAAGAAATAGGAAGTAGTAAGGAGGAGTCAAGATGGAGAGTCTAAAGAAAGCAGTATGCCGCCGGCTCCCCGGTAAGAGAAAAACATAGATCAGCAGAAATGGGTTAATAATTAAAGGCAGGGCTAGCCGATAAGAAACAAGTAACTGGGCCAACAGTATTGTATCAAATACAGAGTCTCTGTGTATTATTTGGGGCTGGCGGCATGGTGGCGGGACAAGACCAGCGGCGGCAGGCGGAAAAACCGTACTCATTACAGGTAACATACCTGTATGAAGGCCTGGGCCAGAATGACAGAGGGGAAGGCTTACTTTCCTATAGCTACCATTCTTAGATAAGTTTGTGTTTTGATGACTTTGATTGTGTATGGGAGCAGAAATCACATTGGCATCAGAGTTGCTTTGCCCTAGAAAAGAAGTTTTTGGTACTTAAAGACAATGAATACATCCCTCAACCTACTGGTTTTGTTTTACTGGATGCAAGTTGGCCTGGTTTACTAGGATATCTTAAGAGATCTCTTGAAACAAACAAAATACTCAGAACTTCTGTGACTTTCACAGAGAGTGTCCTGTTACTGGTTTTAAACAAAGCCTCTCATGGGCAAGAACCCCTGTATCCTGGAGTCAGATGTCAATCATCTTAGGAGTGCACAGGAGATTTAATACTTTGAAGAATGTTTCATGTTTATCCCCATTAAATTTCAGTTTGCTTTGGAATTTTTGGGAGCTTCTAGAATCTATCACTCTCATCTTTTGTTGCTTTGCAGACTGACTAACACTAATCCCATTTCCCCACCCCACAGTTTTTATCCATTACTAAACTAAATTTGGAGCATATTAGGATTTCTGAAGTTTCTAGAACTTTTATGGTAAAAAATAAGTGTGTATTGATTCTGTCAGTTCTTAAGTAGTGGTTAACAGAAATGGTCTCCAAAGTGAGATTTGCTTGGATTTAAATCCTGGGCTTGCCAATATGCCATGTGTATGAGCATCTTAGCTTGTGTGTGACTCAGTTCTTCATTTATAAAATGGAGATACCGGTAGAACTACCTTATACAGTTATTTTAATAATTAAATGAATTTACACATACAGAACACTTACCATTAGTGCCTAGGACATGATGTGCATTACTTATTATAAAGATAAGGTAAATTGAGACTGGATTCTAAGTATAAAGAAATGTGTTTGTTGTCAATATGCTGAGCTTTTGAATGAGTAATTTCCATAGTGGTAGCAGCCGGTAATATAATAAGCTCTGTAGTTTCTAATGCTAACAGATATTCAATATGTCATTAAAAAAAAATCCTGGGCCAGAGAAATGACTCAACAGCTAATGGTCTTTACTGCCAGGCCTTATGAGCTCAGTTTGCTCCCTGGGACCAACATAGTGGAAGGAGAGAACAGACTTCCATAAGTTGTTTTTGGACCTCCACACATGTACTATGACACATGGACATACACACAGAAGAAATAAAATTTAAAAAAAAAAAAAAAAACCAAACCAAACCAAACAAAACAAAACAAAAAAACTAGTTAATAAGAAGGTCATCTTGGAAAGAGAAGTATAGATACTGAATATTAGGCCACCTCTGTGGTAGTTGTTTTCTTTGACAGATACCCATAGGGCCTCCTATATGCTGGACAAGTACTTTGACCGCTATTCCCAGCCCCAAACCAGGTATCTTTACCAAGGCCAAACTATTGTGTTTCTATTCATTTGAAGACATCATAAGAGTCCTGTATGCAAGTCCAGTCCACACTCAGAAAAGGAGAATGCATTCTGCTCTGGTTGTGCCTCTAATAAGCTGAACCAAAAAAAAAAAAAGTAAGGTCTTTTTAACATGAAAAAGAGCAAGAATGTTAGTGTTTTGTAGCTCTTCATTTTGCTTACATTTTGTGCATTTCTAGGCCATAGAAAGACTCACTTAGAAATCCATGCTTGGAAGAAAACTGTTTTTAAGCACCATCTACCATGAGGGCATCGCTGTGCTGTTCTCACTGTCCACAAACACGAAGCTACAATACTGGAAGATCCTGAGTAAGTCCAGGGCAGGGCCTTTCTCCGTTTGCTTCACAGCTGCGTGTTATATCAAGTTCTCATTGGGCTAGAAATTTCAGTCTTCTAGAGACATCTTTTACAGGCAGTTCCTTTTGAACTTCTGTCCTTGTTAGACAGGTTGGTTATTTCTATATTAATACACAGAGCTCAACGAATGAAACTCCTTTGTATGTTTTCAATTACCTCACCACACCCCAGGCACTCACCTGCTACAATGGGAGGAGCTTTTTGGGGGAAGCAGAGGCCGCAGGTAATATGATACACAGTTGTTGTGTGTGTGATGCATTAATACTTTTGACAGCAACCATCTGAAAGGGGTGTAGCAAGTCATTTGAAATTTGTACACAGACTGCCCTATCCATTACACTCACCCATATCATACCCATAATCTCCAAGGGCAGAGATGCTATTACACTCGGCAGGCCAAGATCTTGTGCACTTATGTACACACAGCTCCCACTGACTGTGCTGTGGAGGTACTTCAATGGGAGTTTTCAGTGGCATAAATTTAGTTCAGTTCAGTCAAGAGAGAACACGGCAGGCTCAGCTAAACAGAGACGTGGCTGCGTGTTAAAAAGGCTGATGAGGAACAAAAAGGCTGCCAGTTTTCATAAGAAATTTTATCCCTGGAGCATTAAGAATTGTAGTTGGATACTCACCACCTTCTTTATCCTTGTCCCACCACCTGTGGACCCCGGCTGGGACCTGAAGAAGCTGAAACAGTCTTTTTTTTTCTTCAGATGTGTTCTTGATTCTGAAAAAGTACAATGGGTTAATTTGAAAAAATGAATAATTCAACATTATAATCATGGGCTTTTTGCATAGTTTCCTCTATGAAAGCACTGCTTTATCATTGTTAAGGGAAACTGGTCTATGAACTCTCTTAGAGCTCTCTTCATAAATGCAACTATGTATTTCTTTTCAAGACAAAAGTTAAAAACTCAAAAGAGTAAGTTTGCACAGAGCACATTCAGTGTGTGTGTGTGGGGGGGGATTGGTGATTGCCATGTAACAATTTCTATTTATATAATAAAATCAGCAGAGATAGTATAACAACGTGGGTATGGTGGTTCAGCAAGTAAAGACCCCAAACCTAATGACGGTTCAATCCCCAGGCTCCACATGGTGGAAGGAGAGAACTGACCCTCTGACCTTCCCATGGGTGTGTTTGGCAAGAGTGTCACTCACTCATAAAATAAATAAATACTTTTTTTTAAAGAGAAAAGACAGGTTTTCTATGAACATGAATTCAGGTTATCAATGAGTCTCTAAATGTGAGCTAAAGTTGTTGTACATATATCCAAATCTAAGACAATCCATGTAATGCTAATAATGCCAAGTTCACAGTTTATACACATGGCACTAAGTTTGTTATTTATACCTTATCAACTAAGTAGTAAAATATTAAAGCAGAAATCTGTGTTCTACCTCCTACCTCACATCTATCCATGTTTGTTTAGACTTTCAAGTTCTGCCTGATTTTGTGCGCATCTAGCCCAAAAGAAATCATTGAGAGAAATGAGGTACTCCCCCCACCCCCTGTGTTTTGTGTTTTGCTTCAATTTTGGGTATCCCTTCATTCTCCCCTGCTTGTAATATCATAAGAGTCTACTAGCTGCATCAAATTGATTTAGGACACCAAGCATTTTCTTAAAAATTAAATTCTCCATGAAAATGTAGCAGGACCAGCAGCATCCAAAAAGCATTATGGGAAAAATGCCAAAGGTTGAGCTAAAATGAAGGCCGAATGCTTTGTGTCAGGGAGGAGCGGAAAGGATCAGACAAGAGAAACGAAAGGAAAAGCAGGGCAGCAGGGGAGGCATGGAGGAGAGGAGGGACCAAAATTAGAACAAGAGGCGCTGTTTATTAATAACCTTACTGACCCACAGGCCCCTGACACAAAATACATTAAGGATTCTTGGGACACTCTGGCCTGTCACTCACAGGAGGAGCCAATAAAATGGTGCTGGAGACTGCAAACATTCTGACAACAGACAAAGAAGGAAAAGATAAGTTAGAAGAGGCATAGAGTCAGAGCATTAAGAACCCTGTGGTGGTCCTTGGTCCCCATTCTCTCTTCCCAGCACCCGCTCCAGGTTGCTACCTTCTGCTGATACTCCATACAAGCCAGGAGGAGCAGGCACTGTTCTCTGGGTTGCTGGGAGAATGTACACTCAGGGGAGAATATTTAGAAATGATAGAAACCACGATGAAATAACCCCAATACCTGCGATCCTGCCTCTTACTGATAACAAGTTGGTATATATAGCCTGACCTTTTCCATCTGTTTTTCCCCCCTCTTTCTTTTTCCTATACAGCTCACTATACAGCTGGGTGTGACCTTGAACTTCCCCATCCTCCTGCCTCCACCTCCCAAATGGTAGGATTACATGTGTACTACTCACTTCTAGTTTCCTTTTTGTAAAAGTAAATTTTCCTGTTTTTAAGAAATGAGATTGAGGCTCTGCTACATAGTTCATTGATCTGTAAATGCTTTCCCTTTTCATAAGCTGTAATAAATATTTGCCCATATTGATAAAACTATTTTAAGCATGTTTTATATCATCATTGTATCCTTACACATAGGTTCTAGAATTCTTTATTCTGGGCAGTTGTGCTGTTTGATTGTGATGCTGGGACTGGAACCAGGGGCTTTGGATGCTAAGAAAGCATCCTGTCACTGGGCTACATCCTAACCCTATTTTGCTATTTGTAATTGTGGCCTTTGTAGAATCTTGTGTCACAATTTTTTTTTTTTTCTGAATGTGTTGCTATAGGTGAGACACTTGGGTCAAAGCCTATCTTCCTTCTTTCCTTCCTTCCTTCCTTCCTCCCTCCCTCTCTCCCTCCTCGCTCTCTTCCTCCATCCCTTCTTTTCTTCCCTCTCTCTTTCTCCCTCCCTTCCTTCCTACTTTCCTCAATATTTGCAGAGTTGTCCTCTGAAGCCCTATGCCTTCTTATCATTTTACAGTTAATGGGAATGCAGATCTTTTAAAAAGATAGTCTCAAAGTGCAACCCAGGTTGACTTGGCATCAGTTGGTAGCCCAGGCTGTCTTGAACTTTTAGCAACCTTCTTTCATCAGTGTTGAATTGCTGGTGTTAAAGACTTGTGTACTGCCATGCTTTGTTTTTCATGCATGTAGTGATTTCCATGCTCTGAAACTATTTTTTATTTACTTAGCTTTTGCTTGCCAGTTCTATGGAGTGATTTGTCGATTTTAAACTGCACATTTAAAAAGTGCAATATTGCTTTTACTATTAATATCCAACATTAATATGTAGTTCCAGTATTGGAGGCTGAGGTAGGAAGATTTCTCAGGGTTCAAGGCCAGCCTGTCAGGGAGTCAGTTTCATCTCTCCAAAAAAGTCAACCAATGGGTCATTTCAATCACTCAATCTGAAATTAATAAACCCTTCCCTATCCAATATTGGGGGCACTCCGTTCTTTTGAAGCTTTTTAGCTGTTTACACATCTGTGTCCATTCATGAATGCAGATGTTCCCCACCCTCGGCTCATCTCTCTTCTTTGCTTTTGGGGCTGTGCGTCTCAGGGTGAGGTCATGTGAGATCAGGGTGAGGTTACAAAAGCTAGTGCTTTTGTAATGGCACTTTTTACCTTGGAAACCATTTAAGTCTCTCAGTTCCCTGGGTCTGTTTTGGTCCTTGTGGTAAGAATTCATTTAATAAAACTACCTCTCTGTCCTCATCTAGGAGTCGTGTGCTAGTTGCCATCTTTCTGTGTCTCTGTATTTTATTTCATTGTCTTTTCATCTTCACTTTCCCTGAGCCCTCCCCTTTTCATCATTTTAAGCTGTCCTTCCCTATCTGGTAAGCTCTTCCTCACTGGGTAGCTTTCTGAGAGTTGTGCCCTCACTAATTTCTCCGGGCAGCAGTGGTGTGCACCTTTAATCTCAGCACTCAGGAGGCAGAGGCAGGTGGATCTCTGAGTTGGAAGCTAGCCTGTTCTTCTGAGCCAATTTCAGGATAGCCAAGGTTACATAGAGAAACCTTGTCTTAAAAAACCAAGAGGAAAAAAACCTCCATAAATTAAAAATGTGAGGATGCACTTGTACATCAATGTTGGGAATCTAAGGTTTCTAATTTTTTCATTTTTTTAAAAAAATTTAAATTTGAAACACGCTTGTTTTACATGTCAATTCCAGTTCCCTCTCCTTCCCATCATCCCCTGTCCCTTCCCAACCACCATCCCATCCCCTTTCTGCCCCCTCTTCCCTTCCATGGGGAATCTTCAAAGTCTGTCACATCATTTGCAGCAGGGCCCAGGCCCTCCCCCATGTGTCTAGGCTGAGAAAGTATCCCTCTATGTGGAATGGGCTCCCAAAGTCCATTCCTATACTAGGGATAAACACTGATCCACTGCCAGAGGCCCCATAGACTGCCCAGTTAAGGTTTCCAATTTTGAGTTCTCTTATGCATTCTCATTTATCTTTTTATGTGACCTTCTTTACATTTTGAGATTTTTCTTCTGAATATGACAGTTTCATATTCAGTGCTGTTTGCATGTAACTTTTCTATGATATTTTATTACTGTTTTCTGGGAAAAGTAATTTGTTTATACATTTTCTGTTGTATTTGCAATTTAAGTGGTTTCTTATTCAAATAATTAGCTAATTTTGGTTCTTTTTGAGTTATCTAGACAGATAATATTACCACCCACAGTCAATGATTTTTCTGTGCCCCAAACTACCTAAAAAGTATAATTTCTATTTTTTTTTAAATGTTTTACTTCAAGGCAAGATCCTCCCTGTTATTTAAAGTGTCCCTCATTGGAAGTGCCTCTAACATTTTGCTAGCAAGAATGCTGACCCCAACACAATATGCTTTTGGTCAGCTCTCGTGTTTGGATCCCCCTCTCCCACTTAGCTTTAAATCTCCCTTCCTGAGTCTTCTGTTTGTTGGCTGTCTCATCAGATGCCTCCTGGGCCATTTTTCTAAATATTGAATAAGTGTGACCCCTTTTATATTTGAGTGTTCTCTATGTATGTATGCAGACACCGCCTGCATATATCATCAATTCTTCTTTTCATGTCCAAATACCCATTGTTCCCTGTCAGCAGAACTCTCCTTTAATTCTCAGATAGTAAAGATCTGAGCTGCCCTTGTTTTATTTCATGTAAAGCCACCAGGCTATTTTCTGCCAACTGAAAAGTTAGTGTCTTGCCTAAGATTTTATATTTTTCACATTTTAAGGAAACGCTAAACTATTTTCTCACATAGAAATTATCATTTCATTTGAATTTGCTGACTTTTTGCCAGTGGGGAGTAAAAATAACCCAGAGTTCTGCATATGCCATGCAAAAAGAATTGGTTCCATGAGTTTAGACTGGTTAAAGCAATAAGTGAGAAGAGACTGAGGAGAAAAATAAAAGACTCCCACACCAACAATATCTGAGGAAGCTTGGGGTACCTATATTGAGGCAGGTTGGCAGATGCCTCTGGAGTAGGCTAATCTTAATGATTGTGGGGCCTTGAACATGTCACCATGTCATCCTCTGCCTGCATGTCTTCACAGACAAATTGTAAGATGCTGCAAGAATTAGGGACAACTCCCATTAAGCATTTGGTTAGATACATACTTACTATAGTTGCTGTTAGGACTATTAGATCTAAAGGTAGGTACATGGACGGTATGTTAGAAAACAAATGGGAAATCCAGAATCTTCTCCATCATGATCCTTCTCTTCTTAGAGCCAGTCCCACAAATACTCAACAGTTCCCAGGATTTGAGCCATAGAAAGAGATGTAGTGGGCTTGGGCTTAAACTTCTGCCCACCACAAGAGGAAATGTTAGTTTTCCTTCCTCTCTCCTTCCTGTCAGTTTTCCTTACAGCTGACTTCCTGTCCCATGCTGCTGGAGCAAGCCTTTTGGATGCAGAGACCCTGTTTTTTCTCTAGTAATTTGATGTATTAAATCACTGTGCCTGTTGTTTAAGAAACTTGTCAGCACTCCTTAATTTCTCCAATTTGTTAGTCTAGGGGAACACCATTAGTATGAAACTTAGATGTTAAGGAGAAAGGATATGAATAACTTTCTTCTATCTTTCCCCACACAGAAAGGAATCTATATTTTTTAAAACTTGGTTGGAGGTAACTGTGTTATTGTTATTTAAAATCAATTATCCTTTACTCTATATTTTACCTTGTTTATTTTATCTATCCTCCTTTCCCAGAGGGTAGACTCAGGGCCTCCATTTGGTTTTTATTAGTGTAATCAGTTAATAGCTGTTCTATAATGCTTTACTTATTGTGTTAATTTTCTGTAGTTCTGTCTAGAGGCAGCTTCCTGGAAGACCACATTACAAAAACAACAACAACAACAACAAAAACAAAAAAACAAAAAAAAACCCCAAACAAACAAACAAAAATCCAAACAAACAAAAAACCTTGTTTCATCTTTAATGGGTTTGGTTACCACTTACAGCTTCAGCTCAGATTATTGAACACATTGGTCTACAAGGGTACTGAAAATACATAGACTGTAACTAGCATTTTAAATATCTGTGTGAGCCTAAACTTTCTAGTAGCATGACAGAGCTCAATGCAAACCCTAAAGTCTGCAGTGACACCAGTGTATCCTATCAGCCCCTTGAACTCACTAAGTTATAAGCATCTGTATCTCATTTCTGGGGCCTGAGACACCAGTGTCCACTGCTGATAGAACTTTTCATAGCAATGTACCCTGTGTGAGTTTTGATATTTACAGGACTAGTCCTCAAATGTAAATGGAGCTTCAAAGTAGACCACAGTGACAAATGAAGTTGCCTGAAGGAGAGATCAGGAAATATTTGTCATGCAAACAATAGATCAGGCCTTCCTGTTACTTGGATCCTGAATTAGATAAAAATCATCTCTGAAGTTAACACCATAGGTTCTAGAACTACCTGAAGTGGTAACTAGCTGGCCTGGCTCTCTGGATGACAAGGAGCTCAGATGAGTATATTTGCTGTATCTGGCTGTGGTTGGTCTGTTCAGTGGTCCATGGGGAAAACCCCTTGACAGGTGATGGGATCTATATCAGAAATCACTTGCGTACTGTTCAGTCCCTAGAAATGGTTAGGGATTCACACAAAACAAGCTTTCATTAAGTCTTCAAAGTGGTTGAGCAGTCTTTATGTGACATGCTGGGTATGAAAACTATTCCACGTTTTATTTTTATTTTGGAACATTTGTGCACACATAGTGAGCTGTTTTGGGGATGGAACTCAGACTAAAGGGGAACTTTGTTTTCTGTATACTTTGGACCAAATATTTACCACAGCTGCATTTTGTTTGTGACTTGTCACATGAAACTAAGTGTAGGATTTTCCACTTATGATACCAAGTCAGTGCTCAAAAAGTTTTGGGCTTTGGAGCAGTCCAGACTTTAGATTTTGAGTTATAGAGCTCTAACCTGAAGTAAATTGGTGTTGAAAATAAAGCCAAGGTAAAATTTTAGTTCTAAACTGTGTTAATTAGGTATTAGTTAACCAACACAGCTAGGGTCTTCGTAGGCCTAGCTCACTGTGGGCAGTGCCACTTCTAGGCACATGGTCATGAACTGCATAAAAATGTAAGCTGAGGAACTGGAGAGGTGGCTCATTTGTTTATTGAACTTGTTGCTCTTACCGAGGACCCACGTTCAACTTCTATCACTTACTTGGTGGCTCATTCATCTGCAACTCCAGTTCCAGGGCATCTAGTGCCCTCTACTGACCTCCACAGATAGCAGTCACATACATGGTGCACAAACATACATGTAGGTAAAGCAGCAAGCCAGTCAGCAGCACTCCTCCACAGCCTCTGCTTCAGTTCCTGCCTCTAGGTTCCTGCCTTGAGTTCCTGTCTGGACTTCTTTCAGAGATGGATTGTGACTGAGACATATTAACCAAATAAAGTTTTACTCCCCAATTTGCTCTTTTGTCATGATGTTTTACAGCATTAGAAAGCTAACCAAGATAAGAACTGTTGTAAGTAACAGTTGGAAGAGTAAAAGAGGGGAACATGAAACCACAAATTCAGGGAAGAGCTGTAGACCTGGGCAAGTCTCTCTTCTCTTAATTTTTTTTTCCTTCTCTATTTTACATGAAGGCCCTGGAGAAGATTTGCCAAAGAATCTTACTTCTAAAGAAGCCAACAATCTCATAAGAATGATCAGCAGGATAAATCAAGTCAAAAGACTTAGAAGCTCTACAATCTCCAGCAGCAAGAGCACGTAAACTATGAAACTAATGCCTGAATAAGAATGGCCCTGTGGAGAAGTCCTCAAGGTTGCTATGGAGATGGGTAGAAAGGAGAGAAAGTATAGGGAGCTACATACCAAGGTATGGCTGGCAATGTTATGTAAAGAGGGAAATGAGATCTCTTGCCATTGACTGTTATTGAGGTAGAAGTTGAATGAAATTTTGTGTTCAGATCTCCTCAGCAGAGCATACCACCTGCAATGGGTCTTTCCAAGTTCTATGCATAGTAGAGATTGTTGAGAGCTGTGCCTTTAGGAAATGCCTGCGACAGAGGTAAATTATAGATTTGTAAGTGAGAAAAGGGAGCCCAAATGAAATTCAGTAGAAGTACTTTGAGGTATTTCAAGGAAGAATCTGAGAAACAATCATAAAGTTTAATGGGAGGGAATCTTAACCTGATATGATTTTCTTCCAAGAAGCAATTTTGGATACAATATTTCAAGTGCTAAGCTACAAATTCAGTGACTAGACCTTGAATGTTTTTATTTGTGTTTTGGGGATTCTCTTCCTTCAGTTGAAAAGAATTATTAAGATGATTTTCCAGAAAGATTAATGGGTACAGCATTGGTTAGCCAGCTCTCATAAAAACTATGGCAGCATAGAATCACTGAGATTAAGAACTAGGTTTAAGACGAAGGCCTAGTAATATCAGTGCCTAGTTAAGAAATACCTAGCATTGACTTGATGAAGAAAAACATTATCATGTGTGATTGGAATTTTACCTTCCAGTTGTTGAAGGTGTTAAAGGAAGTATTGTCCTACACAGACTTTGGCAGTCACAGGACTAGTTCTCAAATTAAAACAGTTTCAAATCCGAGCATAGGAACAAACTAATTCACTTGATGGGTAACAAAGGAGGGTCTTACCTAAAATAAATGTGATAGATTGGGCTTCAATGTTAGGTGGCACTTCTTTTTAATTGTTCTAAATCTGAAACCCTTCATAATCATATAGACATGAATGCCAGCCTCTTGAAGGTGAAAAGTGGGTTTTTTAATTTTATTTTACATCATCAATGTCTGACACCTGTTTCTTGGTGTGTAATAGATCCTTAACTGTTTTTGAAACACCAGACTAAGAATATTTGTGTGTGTGTGTGTGTGTGTGTGTGTGTGTGTGCCCACATGGTTGTGTGGTGTTTGTATGTGTGGTGTATGCGCATAGGTGTTTGCAGGTGCAGAGACCACAGGAAGACACTGGACTCATGATCTATTGCTTGAGACAAGGTCTCTCACTGAATGTGGGGCTAGCCTCATCCATCCTCTCCCTCTCCCCAACAGCACTGGGGCTATAGGTCCTCATGTTTGTGAAGCAAGTACTCACACCCACTGAGCTCTTGTTCCAGCTTCAAACTGTCAGTTTTTGATAGTGATGTCTTGCTGTGTACATCCTTCCAATAACTGGATGGTACGGCCATTTGTGCATCAACAAGGAAGCATTCCAGAGACAGGCTTCATTTGGCCAGTGTGAGACTAATGCTGAAAAAAATGAACCTTTGGCTTGACATAACACTACAAATTTCTTGTTCTCCTGGAACTGTGTGATGTGGCCCCTTGATTCACAGATACCTGTGATGACAATTGCCTAGGACCCAGGAGTAGCTGCTCTAACCAGACATCACTCCTTCACTTTACTAAATGTGAATGGTGGGCCAGGAATAATGGTGCATGCCTGTAATCTAAGCACTAGAAAGGCTGTGGCAGGAGGATTGGGAGATTGAGGCCAGCCTAGGTTACATAGTTTGAGACTAGTCTGGGCTATATAGTGAGACTCTGTCTTTAAAAATGTGACTGGCTTTATTCCTGGAGTTAGGGTCAGATCCCAGGTTCTAGGAACCCTAACAAGTCAAGATCAACTACTCATCCTCAACAGGCCAATTAAAGAGACAACTTCATAGTGGAATTTAGTAAAAGGAGATTTGCTCAATGTCACATATTGAACAAATGTGTGAAGAAGAACAAAGAGGTGACATCCCCACCTCCATCTTTGAGGTCCTGCCATGAGGTTTAGGTTTAAATAGAAGGCAGAAACCATGCATTACCAGTCCTGGTCAAGATGTGGTTCTGCCCATCATCATCATTTTGGCTTCAGTATCTCTTATAAGGTGAATTGCAAAGTAGGTAAAGCTACGTGAAATCTCTTTGGGGGAGACATGATCTTTGTCCGGTTGAAACTGGGCCCTAGCCTTTTTCTCCTTCCTGTGTTAAGATTCCTGGGGAATTTTCAATTCCTTGGGATGTGTTGTCTCAAGAGCTTGATAGCCAAAGAAGTGACGAGGGTGTGTTGAGAATGTCTTCATTATTTGCCCTCCCCCCCAGTAAGTCACAAGCTGCATTGTTCATGGCTTCAGGTTGGTGTCAGTGTCTTTCTTACCTGCCTTGTCTATGGGACAGAGCTGTGAATCAATTGAGTCTGGAGTGTTGTCTAAAGGTCCATGATGTAGAGGGTGTGTTCTTCAGCTAATGTTGTTATTGGGAAGTTGTGGGGTACTTACAAGATGGGGATCTACTGGAAGGAAGTTAGGTCATTTGGAGAGTTGCCTTACTCAGACTCTATTGGTCTTTGTTTATAGGTGCCGTATATGTTTGTCCTTTGCCACATCCTCCCACCATGATATTTTCTGTCACCGAAAGCCCAAAGCCACAAGATCACATCTTGATGGACAAACACCACTGAAACTGTAAGCAAAAATAAAACTTCCTTTCTTAAAAGTTAACTTTTCCCAATCTATAACATTTTATTTATTTATTTAGACTAGTGAAACACCAAGTAGCAAGGGGATGGGGGTGGGGGATTGGGATTAAAAGGTGGGGTCCAGTGGAGTATATTCCATTGACTTCAACAAGCTAAAAATCCAAACACAAGCTTAATCATTTCTTTTAGGCCAAGATAAAGAGAAAGCATGACCCTAGACGTGGAGTGAATGGAGTGTGCACATTCCTATGAGTTCACTGTGGCTCCAATGGGGATTGAGCAGGCTCCAAGCACTAAATAACCCTAATGATATCAGGTAGGGGCTCACCAGGGAGCTGTTTGAGAGTTTGTCAGAGCATATTAAAATACAATACATCCCCATAATCCAAAATGGGACATTAGTCCATCTGTCCATACATTCTTTTCTGATATTAAATTAGTTCAGGGGCTTTTCAAAATTACATCATCTACAAAGATAAAAATGCAGTGAGAATGGAAAGAAAAATCAGAATAACGCACAGTGGTGGAAGTTCCATAATTGAAATCATTATTGCTTCAGACACCATTGCTTTAATCAGCAGAATCATAAATCAATGCATCTCACATGTGAAGGTTGAAAAATAAAGTGATGTTAAACAAATTGGTCCTCTTAAAAGGCATGATGCAATTGGAAGCCCCTGGAAATGGATACAAAAAAGTGCTTTCTGAAGGGATACATTGCTCTGGCATTTTATCTTCCACTTAATTAAAAGAAATATATTACCTGGGCCTTTCTTAGAAATTACATATTGGAGGTCTATAATGGCTGAGCCTTTAACCCATTAAAAAAATTTACTCCCAGGAACAGTTAATATTTGACGTTTAATTGCTTTTAGTTGTTGGAGAAGAAAATATGTGTCTTTCCTTCCTTTCTTGATTGACTTTTTCAAAAATCACCTTGTGAGCTATGAAGATAGAGAGGAGAAACTGATCTTCAGAAATACTCAGAACAGATACATGTAAATGCATACATGTGTAGATAACAAAAGCTTCTCCTGTGGGAGCACCTGGTATTTCTCTCTGCACAATGTGTTAGGTAGGTCTTACTATCTGTAGTTAATGGGTCAGATGCAGAGGTCTAGAGAGACTGTGTGCTTGCACAGGTTACCTAGGTAGTAAATCATGGTTGTCCTGTCCTTATTCCTTCCACCATGATCAAGTTGCATACTTCTAGACATACTTTTTGGTGGGTGTAAAGAGACCAGCCGAGCCAGGCCAAATGCACAGCTGGAACAGCTAATCCTGACAAGCTGTTAGCCAACACCTGATTGGAAGACTTTTACCACATCATCTTAAAAAACTTAATGATGACTTGTGCCTTTTCTGCAAATCCTTCATGGAGAGCAACCTAAAGCAGCCACCACCCAATGAACTGCCTTATCAACTCAGAAGGGCTTCTAATGGGAGTTTGTGTGTCCGATGGGCAGAAAGCTGGGCTTCTAGATCGATGCCTGCGTAGACTGTATATGAGTGTTTAGGCCTCACCTTAGCAGGGCAGTGGTGTACAAAGGCGGAGAGAAACCATTTATTTGATTCCCACACATCAGCAGATTTCCATTTCTGCACAATCTAGTTTTCCCCTCCTTTTCCAGGCAATAAATTCTGCACTGAAGACCAAAGTGCTTTTGCTTTCTCTCCTTCCTCCATCACCTTCCCACAAGGCCAGGTATTAGTGAAGGCTTTTGAAAAGCTGCACAAAGCAACTGCTTCTCTAGATTATCCCTTTGGGGGCTCAGGTGATAGGTCTCATCGGGTTTCACCTTCTGCGGCTTGTGGTCACACATGGGCTGTGCCTCTTCCACCACATAGGAAAATATTTGTAAGTTGGTCTTACCAGGTTCCATTTCTCCAAGGACTGGTCCTGCCTGCTCCACCTTCACGGTGTTGGTCAACAGTAAACTCAACTGACTTTTCATGGGGACGATTGCACACCTCCCAGGAAGCCAACAAACAGGCTGCATTTCCCTTCTCTGACTTCAGTCTGCTAGAATTGGTAAGGTTAGCAACTGAATGATTGCAGGGGGTGGGGGGGAGATGAGGAAGAGGGAAGGAAACAAAGAGGTGGGAAAGGGAGGTAGAGGGAGGGAGAAAGGGAGAAAAGGGGGGAGAGTACCCTTCAGCTAGAGAGAGTGAATGTCAGGGTTCCTCTTCTCCATTCTCCACGCAAAGTGGCAGCCATCTTTCTGTCTCTTCCACCTGGAACCCTGGGCAAGGGTTACAGGCTGGAAAGGCTACACCTGTGACTTTTACAGGTGTACTGGGGATCTGAACTGAGGTCCTCATGCTTGCTCAGCTGGCATTCTTATTCACTGAGCCACCTCCCCCTACCCCACCCCACCCCACCCCACCCCACCCCACCCCACCCCACCCCCCAGCTGTTTCTGAGAGGGGTAGTGCTGGGAGAGAGCTCCAGGGAGGAACCAGCTTGGGGCCTGACAATGGGAGTCTGTAAGACGTACATCTTCATCCCCATAGATGGGAAACACACAAATGCCCGCATGCACTTTAAAATAAGTTGATGTTTTTCCTTCCCTCTTCCTTTTTGTTTTTTTGTCATTTTATATTTTCTTCCCCCTTCCCCTTATTAATACTAATTCTCACTACTTAATGAAAAGTAGTGACATGGATGTGCCCATATTGCTGTGGTAGGGACCACTGGCAAAACTCAAGAACTGTACTAACCAACAAATACATCCCTTTCCACATTTCTGTGGCTCTGTCTGTCTCCATCTCTCTCTCCCTTCAGGTTTTTTTTTGTTTGTTTGTTTGTTTTGTTTTTTTGTTTTTTGTTTTGTTTTGTTTTTCCTATCCTAGGCAGGCCTCACACTGTATGTAGCCAAGGAGTATCCTAAAGTTTGGATTCTCATGCCTCCACCACTGAGTGCTAGGATTGCATGAGTATAGTGCCATGCCTAATTTATGCAAGGATGGGGAATGAACCCAGGAGTTCATGAACATTAGACAAGTAGTTCAAAATCTTGAGCTACAGCCTCAGCCCTTGAATCTTTTTTTTTTTTTTCAGCCCTTGAATCTTTTAAAAAAAAAATGGTTTTGAGACTACCTATAATCTTATAATAATAAGATTATGTAATAATTATCTGGAAAAAGTAAACAGGAAAGCTTATATCCAGGGAAAACAGGCAAACTTGTAGGGGCTTATCTGTAACTAATTAACAAAATGTTCAGTAGCCAGGAGCAGGGAGGCTTCAGTGTGGAAAGCCTTTCGTCTGGGTGAGATCTATGTGAATGAGCTTCAGTTAGGAGAATCTAATTGATAATCTGCCAGTTAAAGGGAGGCCCAGAGAAACAGCTCTAACATTGCTGGTCCAAAGATCTCTGTAAAGAAGGCAATCTAGATTCATTTGAGATTTTTCTCTTGGATTGGGGCCTAAAACAGTGGTTTTTAAAACTTACTTTGTTTGAGAAAATATCTGAAAATATTAATGGAATTTGTGGCCTCTTTTCCCCAGAGAAACATATACATCAACAACATCTTTGGTGTATGTATTTGCTTAAGAGTCATTGATGATTTTGGGGTTTTCATTTAAAAGTCCCTTTCAATTTTGCCAGCAGTAACGTGTGTGTGTGTGTGTGTGTGTGTGTGTGTGTGTGTGTGTAAGAGAGAGAGAGGGAGAGAGAGAAAAAGAGAGTTTAGGGGGCCTCTAGCCTAACACTTCAAGCATAGACAAAGTTTCTTCAGAATGCATTTTACTCTTTGATGACCAAAGGCTGTCAAGTAATGATAATGAATGATTCAGTTTCAGTATTTGTAAATATATCATGCTTTTAAATTTTAATTTCTGTTTCTTTCTTTATGTGTCACACATACACATGCCCCACAGTGTCTTTGTGGTAGTCAGAGTACAATGTTCAGGAGTCAGTTCTCTCCTTTGGGGTCAAGAGGTCAAACTCAGATTGCCAGGTTATGTGGCACCTGAGCCTGATGGGCTATCTCTCTGGCTCATTAGGGTCATTAAGATTTGCTTTTCTTGGCACGCCTACAGAAAAGTGGCTTTGTTCAACGCGTGTGTCCTAAGTGCACATGTATAAGACATGGGACAGACACCCATGTGTGAGACTCCGTGAGGGTTCTGAGGCACAGGACTTTGGAAATATGCTCTCAGCCTCTTACTCTCTAGTCTGGGCCACTGATAAGGTTATGGCTGCCCCATGACTCCATCTCATGAAATAGTTTCATCATCTGGAAGACTGAAATTATTTTTACTATTTCCATTTTCTGAAACTGAAAAAATAATCTCAGATGCAAATCCCTAATGACTCTGAGTGTTCTTTTTATGTTTAGAGGTCACTGGGTTGTCGTCATGGACCCCAGCCACCTCCCCATCAGCAGTGCTCTCTGCCTACATTACAGAAGATGGCAAAAATATGAGCATTCATGCATCTGGCCAATTACAGAATGCTCACCAACAGGGGAAATTCCTTCCCCTCTTCAGCTGGTGCACAGTTATGCCCTGGAGCCCAGGACGGACATGCCTTGTAACTTTTTAACCTAGTTAATGTAACTGCCAATATTATTCCCGTTCATATAAATGTCTAATCCTTTCTTGAATCTTGCTAGACTATTTCCCTCAATAATATCCCGCAGCAGTAAATTCCGAAGGTGCATTACACGCTGCTTTAAAAATATTTCCTTTATTCATTTTCAATTGGTTGCCTTTTAACATCCCAACATGGCCAGGGCTCTTGCCTTAACTGGTGAAGGATAAAGACAAAGCTTTACTTCCCCTCAGTACTTTCTTAACAATTATCAAAACCCTGTCTTCTCTCACTATATTCTGTTTTGCCATTTATAATAGCAAGTGAGGTGATTTGACTAAGTGGTTTTGTGCTACTTGGAACACCTAACAGGTGCTGGCCCAAAAGCTTTTTCTTGATCCTCAGTGTGATTTATTAGATAAATATTTACCCAGTACCTATTTGTGTAGGAGCTGTTTCAATTTTGGAGTGACAGCCTTGAATAAGACTAGGCCATTGTTCAGAGGGACCTGATTTTTCTCAAAAGGGAATGAACAATAAGTTAGTGAGTAAGTTTATAAGATGCACTTTCAGGGGAAAAGAACTATCTGCCCTCCATGACCCCTCAACTAGAACCCATTTCTTGCTGTATGTTTCTCTACAATCTGTAGCACTATAATTATTCACAGAGTATTTACATTTTACTAAGTATTATAAGTGATCCACAAATGATTAACATGCATGCGAGCATATGCATAAATTATATCAAGTTCCATACCATGCAGTAGCAGGGACTTAGCACCATGAGATTCCATGATACTTGGGTGAGGGAGTGTTCTTCTGAAAGGGGTGGGGGCAATTGGGCCCAGCCACCCATGAGTCACTTGTGTGGTGTCTCATGAAGATGAGTTAGTGCCAGAAGTAACTGGCTCTGTCTACTTTATTTGTTGACTATGTGAATGAATCAAGGTTAAGAAAGGTCATTTTAGTCACAAAGGTCACCTAGTGACTCACTAGACCTGGGAAGAACAATTCTCCAATGTCAGTGTTGAGCAGCAAGAAGTAGGGATTGAGCTGGTGAGGGTCCAGCTGCAAGACCTAATGGTGCTCTGTCTAAGCAGCTGGATGACCTTGGCCTAGTTACTTGATTCTTCTCACCCAAAGCATTCATCATCAAATAGGAAGAAAGTTCTCCTTTTTACTAGGAATTTGAGCATTTAGGTATCATTATCTGGAAGTACTTTATATACTGCCAAATGATGCAAATGCTGTAGAACTTTGGTTTTTATCATATTTTAAGATTCATTGCTTGATACAGTCTTGTGTGGTCCAGGTTGGCCTCAGATTCACTAAGTTAACAGAGGATGATCTTGGAATCCTGACCCCCTTTAATCTGCTTCTTAAGTGCTGGGATTAGAGGTGTGTGCCACCACTTTCATTTATGCAGTGCTGGGGCTTGAACCCAGGACTTGTTGCATTCTGGGCAAACACTTCCCCAACTTTCCCCAACTAAGCTATATCTTACAACTCTGAGATTTGGTTATTGTTGCAACTGGTTGTTGTTACACAGTTTTTACCTCAAGCATGTGCCATAAGCCACACCCACCCACAGCAGCAGCCACTATCTGGTCTTTCTTTTTTCCTTTTCTCCCTTCCTTGTTTTCTCAGTTCCCTATTTAATTCCTGCCTCTACTGAAAGACCGCCATCCTGGCAGTGAGCTTCACAGAATTAGCTTATGGTAGGGTCAGCTCATCTTCCTGAGCTCCTTGTCAATGTAAGTATTTCCTTCTTGTTGATGCAGTGGACTGGACGTTGATTTCAAATAGTGATTGTTTACTGCTTAGTTTTCTGGGGTCAGGTTATCCAAACTTCTACATACAAAGGCAGAATTCTTGCCTAAATTTCTGAGTGAATACTTCCCTAGAAATCAGACTTTGACCTGATTACCTATCTTTAGCTTTTCTCTCACTGTATCCCAGTATGGCAGTGCATATAATTTCTTTAGTAGCCTCTCAGATTTTTTTAAAATTTCTCCTTAATATACCCCCCCATTGAGGCAATTTGAAGTAGAGTCATATGCAGCCCCACATAATCGTGTATTAAAAAGGCATCTCAATAAATTATTAGGATGTTTACATGCATGGTTAGAATTTACTGGTAAATTCCTTGGACCTTGGTTTAGTAGGGTTTTAGGATCCTGCTGGCCAGGCTCCTTCTGGGTGAAAATCTGAAATAGGAGAAATTGCCCTTTGCTGTCCCTCACCAGCACTTCCTCTGCCTGGTTCCTGGCCTTTCAACACTTCCCCCCCTTTCCTACCCTGAATAACTCTGAGGGCCTGTCAAGCCCTTTGCACCTTCATGCGAAGATGTTTCAATGGGTCCCTTCCCAGATCTGCCCCTAACCAAGGTGAGGTATGCAAAAAAATAAATCTTCAATGGTATAATTTTAGATGCTCTGGCAGCAGGAGAGGGCAGCTATTTTGGGCTGTAGGGCTTTCTCCTTGACCTGAGGTGACACAGTTTTGCCTGTTGCTAGAGTAGCCAGCCAGCCCTGCATAGTGTCATTTTGGCAGTGTGTTTGCAGTTCCTTGGGTGGCTTCTTCATCCCTCTACTGAGGTCTGTGTTCATCTAGAATTTTGTGTTCTTGTGCAGGATCATGAGTCCATTGGCAGGTGCCACATAGACTTGTGGGAGTGTAACCACTCCAGCATACCCTTTGGAGACAGTACAGATGGGACAGATTCCCCTCCACAAAGAAGATGGAGGAAAATTGATGGTCCAGTTTCTGTGCATCTTTCAGTCTCCATTCTTTATCAGTTGCTTGGCCGCCATTGTGTGAGTTACTCCCATGTAGAGCCAGGCAGGTCTCCAGACCACAGTGTCTGCGCCTAGCCACCTACACTGCCTGGCTGGAAGCTGTGTTTTCCTGATGGCTTTTCTGACCACCCTGCTTGCTGTCTTCCCCAGGCTTCTGATGCAGCTGCTATCTGCAGACCTCCTGGACTGCCCAAGGAAGGGAGTGGGAGCTCCTGCTCCAGATGGATGGAATAGCTACAAGAAGGATTGAAGGTGGCCAAAAATAACAGTGCCTTCCAGATGAGGTGACCTCAGAGCCAAGAGCATCATGGGGTAGAGTATCTTGTTCCTAGTTTTATGACCTAAAAAGTACACAGAAGATTCTAAGATACTACAGAGGGAAGGAATAAAGTATTCAGAGAACAAGGAAATGTGATTAATTATTTTTTTAATTGAATTTCTTGTCCACACATGTACACATATATAAACACAAGCCTTATATATGTATGAAAAGAGAACCTAGATCTCTAGTTTGATAGACAGATAGACAAATAGATATCACAAAATACAGTGGAAGACCAAAATGAAGATGATAAAGACAATGTTGCCTTCCTTTGTTTGCTGTGGAAATAAGTTTAATAAACCTTCATTGAGAACCAAGTATGTCTGGTCTCATTACCTTTCTGAATGAAACTTTCTGAATAAAAACTTTCTCATATAAAAACCCAGCCATCACCGTATCATGGTCAGTCATAGTTCCGAGTGTCAACTGGGATGAGCTGGGTGCTCTCAAAGGCTTTCTTGAACTTTAGGCTGGCAGTAACTGAGGTTGGCTTACTGTTGCCTTTCTGGGGCTTGATGCTGTCGAGCATTGCTGCACCCTCAGATGGAGGTATTTGGTGGGATGCCTGAGCAAGGTCATTCTGTGCAGCCAGAATCTCATTGCTGTCTCATTATTATGCTTCTTGTAATTGCTCAGTGTTCCAAAAATGAATGTCCTAAGACAAGGTAGAAATGTAGCCACACCTCTGGTGTAGCTGAATCACATACTCTATTGGTTCTCTAGTCACAAGGTCAGCTCAGGGTCAAGAGACAAGTACCAAGATGTTTCTCTGGAGTTTCAAAGTGTAAACATCTTAATACTTTTAAGATATCTCATCATGATATCAACTGCTTCCATGTCCAAACCTCTCATAGAATGCATCTTGTTGGAGTTATAAAAGTTCTGCAAAGGATGGGGAATGTAGTTCAACAGTACACCCCTTGCTCATCATACAGGGGACTCTAGCACAGCAAAGAAAAAAAAGTAAACTATCCACTGGCCATATCTGTAAGGCAACAGATGAGTGTATGCAAGGTATAAGATGATTCCTGGAAGAGCTATGTGGTGTGCACATCTATAATTCCAGCATGGTCTCTCTCTCTCTCTCTCTCTCTCTCTCTCTCTCTCTCTCTCTCTCTGTGTGTGTGTGTGTGTGTGTGTGTATGTGTGTGTGTGAGTGTGTGGCAGAAGCAGGTGAATCTTTGAGTCTGAGGTCAGCCTGGGCTATATAGCAAGACTGACTCAAAAAATAAAATGGACAAGCAAAACCCCACAAATTTTGCATACATAGAAATTACAGGCAGAAAGCCAAAAGGGAGGCCTATGGCCACTAACTATGGTTGCAGAGACCTGAAGGCTGATTGAAGGACACAGGGACATAGAGGCTAGCATCTTTAAGATCTAGTGTGCCTGCTCAGGCCTACATGCTTGCTTGCAGTAACATTCCTGTTTGCTATGGGCCTTCTCCTGTCCTCCCTCACCTGAACCCCACCAGCTGTTCTTGAGTTTGATGACATTATTATGCTCTGCCCATAAAACTCTTCCTGGTCCCTAGTGTCCTGAAGGGGAGATTCTGTCCTTTATGTGAATGAAGGGCTAACCTTTCATCATTCTCCCTACTTATTCCTACTTACTGAAGAAGAGTGAGCATCTCCCTGCCTTTCAAGTCTTATTCTTTGAACTTGTTGCTTGCAATACCTGTTTTTATTTTGTGTTCCCCCTTAACACAGCCCCCTGTCTTTTGTCCTCTAGAATCCTGTCTTGTTTTCCACATGTCTCATGCTTTTCTTCTCTGCTCTGGTCTGTCTTAACCTATCAGCTAGTGGCCTGCCAACCACAGGACATCAGGCCCCAGGATGCACAGTGCCCAGCATTTCCTCCAGGTCCAGCTTCAACATCTTCCTTCAGAGGGCTTACTCCAATCCCGGGACTTTCAGGTGAGTTTCGCTGTTCTGTTTTTGTTCTGTCTCTATCGCATCATCACTGAAAACACTTTTTATCTGGACTTTCGTCTCTAAATACCAGCCAGGGTGGAATTCACCTTTAATCCTAACAGAGGCTGGGTTTCTTTTCTCTTAGTACAAAGCCACATATATCCACTGTGGAAAATTCAGGACACACGGAAAAGCAAATATTATATTTATATGCACTGTTACTACCCTTTGATGTGGGGCCCTTTCAACATTCCCCTCTCCACATGATGACTTTTATAGACAAAACCCAGCACTACTTAGATGGGAAATACTTTCTTCTATGTCACTTGCTGGCTTGTAGAACCAGTTCTCTGGAAAGTCAGTGCCAGGCCCCAGCTGATTGGAATAGGGCTAGTTATCTGGCCCTGGCTGGGCGTGTGTCTGCTTTTTCCTTGAGATTAAATCAGCTAGTATCTGAGACTGGACCTGTGACATCTCACAGAGGTAGGATTAGTCACTGTGTCTGGAAACTTAAAGCTTTGCTGGAGAAGGTGGTTTGCAAGGAGAGCATGGAGAAGACAGTGAGGCCCAGAGGAAAAGTTAGAGGAGCAAGGACTCCTTACACCTGGCCCCAGTGATTGCAATGACATTTCTCAAGTGGCCTTGTGTCTTTATCTGTCCTTGAACAGTGTCTACAGGATTCTGACATTTCTGTCTAACAATGCCTGCTCAAGATAGTTGCTTTTTGTAAACTGCCTTTGCAATGAATAAGATGCTAGAATTTTTCTGGGAATTATATATTCTTCCAGGTTATAATTTTCAGTGTGTTAGGACAAGTACTGTGAATTCCTAATGCTTAGAGGCAGGGTTGGAGGGTATGCACTTAATGTGAGCATCTTGAGCTCTGGTGCTGAGTTCATAAGTCCTTCCTATTCTCCTTTGCTGCGTGATTTGCATGCATTAAGCACTGTTTATCTCAGTTATTAAGCACTGTTATCTCAGAATTTTCATCTGTAAAATGGCAAATCACAAGGCTACATTATACCAGGAATCTTAAAGTTTCTAGTGTTAAACTTGAACTATAGCAGAGGATGACTTAAATTCCCGATTCACTTGCTTCCATCACCCACATGCTGGGTGATCTGGCTCCTGTACCATTATTACTAACCACAAACCAGTTCTCTATCAATGATCCTTATATTTCCAACATGATGATCACAACCATAACAATAACTTCACATCCTTGGGCCAAGTGGCCCCCAAACTGAAATACTGTATCAGAGATCATGAGCATGAAAAGTGTATAACCATGGCCACTGTGGTGGTTTGAATAGACTCATGTATGTGAATGCTTGGACCATAGGCGGTGGCACTATTAGGAGGTGTGGCCTTGTTGGAGGAAGTGTGTCACTAAGGGGCAGGCTTTGAGGTCTTAAATACTCAAACCAGGTCCAGTGTGACATTCACATCCTGATGCCGGTCAATCCAGATATATGACTCTCAGGTCCTTCTCCAGCACCAAGTCTGTCTGCATGCCACCACACCTCCTGTCGTGATGATAGTGGACTAAACCTCTGAACTGTAAGTCAGTCCTAATTAAATGCTTTCCTTTGTGAGAGTTGCCATGGTCTTGGTGTTTTTTTTCACAGTAATAAAACCCTAACATTGATAGCTACCATCATGCTGCCTGTGACCCCTTGAAGTGCCCACTATCCCAGTCTCTGCCATCTTTATATTTACCGTTCTTGTGGCTTCAGAGACAGTGCATTTCCTTCCATGCTTATGGTGGGATCTACACTCAACTTCCAACAAAATGAAAATACTGTCACATCTGACTCATGGGACTCTTTCAGGTAGAATTTAAAACCATTCAGCTATTCACTTCCATGTCAGGTATAGATTAAGCTTAGAGATAAACAAGGCCTATGGATTAGATTTCCATTTGGAGGCAACTCCCAGGTGGCTAACCACAGAGGTGGCTTTGCAGCCATTGTGTGAAAAATTCCAGATGGTTCTAAGGAAGTCAGATTGTGACTGAGTTTTGATGATATCTATAAACTTCTTAGATTTTATAAAATGTTCTGGGGAATAGGACCATTTGGAACAATGAGGGAGTTTTTCCTTATTATTTTAAACCACTGTCCCTACTACCCTCTGTTGCCTTACCCTGTACTGCCTTATCAATTTCTGCTAGTTGTATGTGAGCTGCAGCTAGAGCTTAGTGGAGAGGCCCCTGTTCTTTGACAAGGTGTCAGGGAAGGCTCTGGAGGTTTTGCTAGACAGGAAGCATATAGGGTGAGGAGGACTTTGAAAGGTATACAGTTAAATACAGAAGGGCCCTTGAACAACAGTGAGGAGACTATGCCAGCATGGGCATTTACTGGATGACTGATAGGATAACAGCTATGAACCTTTTACGGGACTCATATTATACACAACATATGTATGTGTACAGGATCTACCTCAAGGCAGACCCGAAGCACAGGTGATTTTGATGAGATTATGCAGGTGGGAAAAATGGGTTCAGAGACCACCCACAATGATTAAGAGAAAGCTGGAAGGGAATGCCATGCTTTGCTAACTACTGAGTTTATAACCTCACTGTGAGGATGCTATGCTTAAAGGGCTTCAGATTGATTCCCAAGGCACATTGGAGTAACACTGGGAGCTATTGGAGGGATGCTGGAAGAGCAGAGTGCTTAGAGCAATTGTCATGGCCATGCAAGACAACAAGCAGATGTTTCTCCCCTAAGGTAGCCTCAGTGCTCCTTTGAAGCAGGGTCTTGAAGTGGGAAATCCTGGTGTCATGAACCAGTGAGAGCCTTTCCATGGAGCCTCTAGCCACCGTTTCCTTCCTTAAATTCCTGGATACTTTGTGCTTCTTTCCCAGGGTCTGTTTGTGCTACCCTTAACAGCCGCATGCACTGTCTTGCATCTAGTGTACTTTAAGTTCCTTAGGAGCAGGAGGAATTATGCTTTATTTATCCATCTATCTATCTATCTATCTATCTATCTATCTATCTATCTATCTATATCACATATATGTGTTTATATATATATGTATACATACACACCCATGTTTACATATATGTATCTATATATGTTATAAATAGCATTGTTAAATCCAGTGCTTTGGTAAATGAATAAATTTCAAAATTATTTTTTCCAGATAATTCTTCTTTATGCATAGAGTTAGGGAGTTAGTGGCAAGTTAGATGATACCTTTTCATTCAAAATATGAAAATAATTTCCTTAAACAATCTACTTGAAACTACTTTGAAATGTAAGGAAAAGGAAGATTGGGAAGACGGCAAAGCTTTTAAGAGTCAATGTCACATTTATTGCTATAAAATATTTTTCTCTCTCTGTTAGACATCTGGATCCCATTACATACAGTATTGGGTACTTGAGTTCACCAGCCATTT